TGCCTTCCCTCTAGTCTTACACTGCTAAATTAGGGATGGCTACGCAGATATCCCTCGTGTAGCTTTGCGCGAAATTCAAAAACAGTCGTTCTAGGAACTCATTTTCATTAAAAATCTCATTAGTACTGATGTAACGCAGTTGTAATTTTTTTCTTTGTTTTTTGAATGAAATTGTTACACTAGTAGTCGCTATTATCGAACTTGTATTAGGATAATATTTATGGAAATCCAAGATTTTATTTGTGAAAATAGATAAGATCGTATAGTTCAAATTCATTATGTTTAGATTTACGATATAAATTTTAACATTTTCACAGATACATATAAAATAAACACATTTCAAAAGACAGTACAATGTATTCAAGAACACGTAAAGTTGTGAATTGGAAATAATGTTAAATTTCACTTACGAGAGGGAACCCTCGACTGGTTCTGTCTACTAATCACACATGTAAACTAGGGCCCTCTTTTTGAAAACACCAGTACTTTAAAACAATAAAATTATGTAATTCACATTTTTGATAAAAATAACATGTTCAAAAAATACCAATTTAATTGTAAAAAAATATTTTTCAAATTGACCGAATTATTATAAAAACATATTTTTTCGTTTTTTAATAGTGATGTTTAAGTTTCCTATTTTTTATTACAAATTGTTTAGACAGTGTCAACAAATATTTTACCGATTAAATTATAAAAGTACCCAACAGAATTACATAGCAAAATATTACAAAGTTAACAATCAGTTCACTATTTAGAAAAATTGGAATTACGTTTTTTTATTATTCGCATTTAAGGACCTATTACAATAAAATTAAAAATCAGAGAATAATTATTTCTTGCCTTTTTTGTAGTTTATACTTATAAGAGTCACTCTTAAAACTTTCAGATATCTATGTTTAATAAAAGCAAAGCGATGTTGGAAATACTTTGCTCAAGTATAGGGCTGGAAAGGTTCAGTTAAACCTTAAGTTTGTGTGTTTAAAGACGTTAGAAATCGTATTTTGAAACCGTGACTGGCAGAGGACAGATAGGGGTTTGCGTTTGTCAACAACTGAAGAAATGAGGTCGTTATTGTGTTTTGAATTAACTTGGACAGGCGTATCCGTAGTAGAAACTCAGTCCTATTAGTATTACTGTCATCAACAATATAAATAAAGTTGTAAATCATTATATGTATTAATTCAGTATCTAAAATACCTAATATTAATAAAGATAAATATGTTTAGATTGCTTTAGTATCGTTGCACTTTTAATTATACAATAGAAACTTAAATTTTTGACCTAGGCCTAAGTGATTCACCACGTTATGAAACACGGCTACGATTTCCATGTGAGTGTGATTAACTAGACTACTGGAAAATTGAGTTCTGATAAGTTTTATTCAATGTGGTTCACTATTCCCAGTGCCAGAAGGAAAACAAACTAAAGGATGTCGGTGACACCTTTCTGGTCTGGAATGGATGAATCTTATTGCGTCTATTTCCACTTTTTCTGTGTCTAGTGAACGCAAAATGAGTTTCTTTTTGTTTTTTTCTGTTCTACGATGATTGATTTATTTTGCGTCCAGGATATCAATGTTTGCGTTAGTGTGACCAGGATTATTTTGTAGTTCTGTAAAATTAATTTTCAGCAGAGTATTTAGTTTTGGGTTACTTTCATGAAGGTGAGCACAGAGTTTAAAAATAGCACATAAATTAATGGGGTTTTGATTATTGATATATGGTATTATGAAACTTAAATCTAACACTAACAGAACATGTTTTTCAGCTCTTGGTAAATGAAAACGTGAGAGGTACAACTGTAAATTGCTGTGTGATTTTAATTTTAGATTTGTGTTATTGTGATACATATTTTCTACCAGTTGCGATGTTTACTTATATCAGTACACAATTGTGTATGCTGCTATTACTAGGTATATGAATCTAGCAAAAGTTATTGATACATTGGTACCTCCTAAAACTGGTTTAGTCTCTTCTTAAACCAAATACTTAATAAAATAAAATTGTACATATTAATTTATTATTCAAGTATGAATCAAACCCTTTAATTTTTAAATATTACACTTTTCTCAAACTGGGCATTCCAAGTTATGAACTTTGTAATTTAATTTCTTACCAACTGAATAAATTGTTTGGAAAGTTATCTCTTAAATGTTAGCTTTGTGAATTAACTACCTGTTATAATTTATTTATTCAACTACATGAACATACATGTATATTATTTTATTAATTTGTTTGTGTTATCAGATGATCAGTGTACTGATAAGTCATTATTGTATTCTATATCTCTACATAATTTAACTTTTCCAGTAATGTAACTATTATTTTTCCTAATTTGGATTGGGGGCTGGCTAACAATCCATGTGTTGTAGCAACATTAATGTGCAGATTTTATTACTTTAGATTATAGAAAGAATCCAAATTAGACGCCCCCCCCCCCCACATACCATTTATACCACAGTAACATCTTTTGTAGTTAACACATTTGTTGAATGTATGTGTGAATATGTTATGTGGAAAAGATGTTGAATTGACCAGTGATCAAACTTATGTCATTATTTCATAAAAAGAAATTTATAAACCATTTTCAATGATAAATAATTCTTTTTAAGTTTTTTTGTTTTTTTTTTACTGAACCAGGGTCAAAGTTGCTTGCAGAAAATAAAAATGTGACTGCTCGTCACTGCTATTTGAAATAACATTGTATTAACAAATTTTTAACTTTTGGCAATTTCTCCAAACCAACTACATGTAATTATCTCATAGGTGGCCAGTTTATAGAACTCCACTATATTAGTTCTCTTAAAACTGTTCTGTAACAGTTGGTTTATCAGAAATACAAAATAATTTTGAGTATGGAATACACTTGATGTGTATACTGTATAATTGTCACATAAAAAGTGATATAACATTTTAATTGGGCATAATTATGTCAGTTTAGCAAGTAGTCAATGAAATGTTTTGTAATTTAGAATGAAGTTAATTTAAAGATATCTGTAGTAATAAATACATATTAAGTTTGTTAATTCGTTACAGGATTGTTCCAGAGATTAGTACACGCACGAGGCTACAGCTTTGAATTTGTACCTGCTCTTAAACAGAAGTTTTAATGCCTGATATGCCTTTTGTATGCAAGAGATCCAATCCAAACATTCTATGGTGATATGTTCTGTAAGTAGTGTAAGTTATATTGGTTCTGGTGAAATTAAAGTACTTTTTCTGTAGCTTTTGTAGTCAATGAATTTTTAGGCAATTTAACATAGTTTTGTTTATTTAACTCTTTTGTTAGTTGAGTAGAATGACTTTAATATGTTGATCTCATTTAGGAGTGCCAAGCTCATCAAGATATTTGTTTGCCCAGCAAAACAAGCCACCCAAATTAACTGTTACTTTTTACATTCATTTTTCTACGTGGTATTCTTATGTCACTATTGCAATGTTAAGATCTAGCTGGCAGTGAGTTGCTAATGTTTGAAGAATGACAACTAGTTCATTACAGTGTTGGAAATGAATTTGAAGATGTTAAAACAAAACAGTTGTACACACTAACACAATTGAATGTGATACAAGACTGTTTATTTGACTTATTATTTTGTATTGGTTAACCTAAATGTAGATAAACTGGGCTTTACTATATGAAGACGAATGGCCCGAAGACCAGGAAAGGACCGATTCTAATGATTCAAATACACACACATGATCAGTCAGACAACAAAGAAATGATGCTTCTCTAACTTTAACTAATAAAACATAAGATTGTAAAATGACCAGTCTGTATTCTCATGGGAAAGATAGGTTAGCAAAATGTGAAGGTTATCTTCCACTAACCTACAGTCTAACAATACCTTAAGAACAAAGCATTAATGCAAGGTTTGGTATGCTATGTTGCAATCTCAAGGTTCGGGTTTAAAGTGGTCAAGACTGAACTCTTACAGAAATCTAAAGTGTGGAAATATTGCATAAATTTTGAATAATGTAGAAATAAAGTTATAGGAAGGCTAGCAGTTATGATGTATCCATGGTTACTAAGCCTAATCAGCATTTAACAAATTTAAACTAAAGACCTTACATATCATCAAGCAAACCATTATAAAAGTCTATAATTATCAGAGAAGTAATTCTGATGATGAATAACTGTGGATTTTGGTTTAACTATATGTTTAACTATATTATTACTTCAACCTTATTATTCCACTGCTAAGTTTAACACAACACGAATCAAAATAGTTCTATATACTCAATGTTTTAGAAAAAAGGGATTTCAAACTTTAGAGTACTTCTTTTTAGCAAAGAAATCTTATACCAGATGTGTGTGTACAAGCTTTGAAATTAATGACAAGCAGCTGGAAGTTGCCTGTCAGTTATGTTAATTTGCCCCATATTTTAATTTAAGTTTGTGATTGAAAGAAACTATGATGTAACTGGTAATAAAACATTTGTGTGTATTACTGAAAGTTTTCCTATATATAATTTTTAATATTACTTTTAGAAAATGTTCACATGTGACCCAAATGATGCAAGTAACTATTTATATCTAAACCATGTGTTCAAGTAAAGGCATTCAAATGTTTTGCAGGTCTCCTCTAGTTCATAGGATCCAGCAGTTTGTGTCTGCTGAATATTACATTTGAATTTGAGGTGCCATTGTATTGTCTTGTCTCAGCATCTTCCTAACATCTTCACATACTTTGTAGAAGAGGGGACCAAAATGAAATTCATGACTTCAGATGAAGTCGTGTTCAAGGTGGCAGTAACCATCTTGCTCTTAAGTTCAAAATTTTTGTTATTCGAACCTGGATCTTTAGTAGCTCTTTTCACCACAGCTAAAGGCAATAGGGTTTTATCGATAACCTTTAAACTGTTCTTCTCCTTTTCCACAAAACTGTTGTATCTCTTAAACAAAAAGGAACTTCTCACCAAATCCATAATTAATATAATTTAAGGCAAAATGTCAATGGTGTTGAAACTCTTAAGGTACTTGTATTGTATATCTGTATTGATTACAAGTTTTCTGATGTAAAGAAATGTCAGTCAGTACTTACGTGTTTAAGCAGTAATGGTGTTAATGTGATCGACAGAAAACTCAAATTAAAATACCCCTAGTTTTTATGCTTATGATAAATAATTTATATTGGTTAAGAACAGGTAAAAAATTAAAATCAAAAGATATTTTGTGATGAGACATCGCAATTACAAAACTTTTTAAAGAAAGAAACAAAGTTTTTGAATACTTTTCTCCCGTATTAAAATTTTTAAGATTTTTTTTTTAAATTGTATTGTTTCTCATTGGTTATTCTAGGTTCTTGTCTTTGAAATGGTTCAACACTTTATTATGACTACTCCCATACAAAGAAACACTTGTAACACTATTTATTTGTATATACGAAAAAACTGATCATGTAATTCCTTGATCCTTATTATAATGCAGAAATTTAGTCACCTTAAACGTTATTTGTGAAACAGTGGGGAAGAGGGTTATGATACTGTGTATATGTCTAGAATAGGATATGTGAAACATTGGGGAAGAGGGTTATGATACTGTGTATATGTCTAGAATAGGATATGTGAAACAGTGGGGAAGAGGGTTATGATACTGTGTATATGTCTAGAATAGGATATGTGAAACATTGGGGAAGAGGGTTATGATACTGTGTATGTGTCTAGAATAGGATATGTGAAACATTGGGGAAGAGGGTTATGATACTGTGTATATGTCTAGAATAGGATAATTTTCAAACCCACTTGCTTTAACCAGCTGTTCAAAGACATTTATCAACAGTGACAAATGAAAGGGAATATGTTTCCTATCAATAGAAACTGTGGCCAAATTACCGCTGGTGACTGACTGAGATAAAAAGACGTTTGTATAGAGTTATAAAGTGCAGCAGTTATCAGATTATGTTTCAATGGATTAATTCCTTCAGTATTCAGTTATTTTCAATAATACCATGTGAAGAATATTACAAAAGTTTACATTGTAACCAACAAACAATCTAAATGGCTAACCTCAAGAAAGTGCTGTCTGTGGAAAGTGGAAAACTTGAAGTGTGGCTCTGGCAATGTAAGTGCTGTGGTTTCAACCAGATAAGACTAACAAGATATGGTCATTCATGATGTTAGAAAAATATGTAGGTTCAAGAAGTCTTGATAGAAATGAATAAAAACCCTATATCTCGAGCAATTTCGAAAAGTGGACCTTTCTTCTTCAGATATGGGGTATACAGTATAGGTATATCCAAAAGCTGCTGGAGGGGTGTTACTACATTCTCCACAGCAGATAAGAGTTTCACAATTTGTTCAAGAACATTTAACAAACTTTAATTGGCTTTGACAGGGTAGTAGTCACTATAACAAAAACAATCACTGGCTACAACATGGTACGTTAAGTAATAATCTCCTTCAGAATTCACTCTAAACTTGTTTTCTACAAAAAGAGACAAGTTAGAAGACCTCTTTGACCAACTCAAGAATAGACTTAATTTGTGCAAAAAGCAGAATGCTATCATTGCTTTGAGAAAAATCAATGTAAAAGTCGAGAATGATGCAGATAGAGGTGTGATACATAGATATGATACAGTTCTTAAAATCCAAAATGAAGGATGCACAGCTGCTAAGTCTCTTGATTTTGGTGAGAGACTTCTGAAAATATCCAATTCTCACTATCCTGTCAATCAATGAGTCAGTCATGGTGTTCTGCCCTGTTCAGAAGGTCAACAATTGTGGTTTTTGTTGTTCTGTATTTCTCACTGCCTGCGCTATCTTTCCTAATTCAAGTTTCTCATATACAAGTGTCATCAAGGCAAGTGAGTCTCTACCTGCCTCCCACTCTTCTCCCTTTTATTTTATCATTTTTCCCCATCAGAATTTCTGCCAACCTTCCCTTAGGTTTAATTATATGCTCCAATTAGAACATTTTCCATTTCCTTTTTATATATCCAGTTGTTGTCTTTTTTGTTTTTGTATGTTCAGATGCTTATTAGCTTTTCTATGCATCTTGCTAATAACCTAGAATTATGTAATCTATCTATTTTAGTACAACATGTAGGTAAAAAAAAAACATGATCTTCAGTACACCAGTACTAACTACTGCTTATAACCTACATTACACAGAACTTGTGTTGTAGATTACATTACAAATTAGTAAATGTTTATGGCCTTGGAAATGAAATAAGAGATTCTTGTTGTCAAGGATGTAGTGTGTACTTTTAGCACTAATACCATTGAAAGTTTCTGAAATATGCAAAATACATCTGCACATGTGGTGCAGTCTACAGAGAATTTTAATCAAATGGGCATTGACTTGCCTTTTATTTCTGAACACAAAAGTTTGTAAATAAAAAACAAATAATCATATTTTTAATTGTTAATTAAGAACATTTATGTTAAACACTGGTGTTAAATTGTTATATGTTTATCAAAGCTCATCACACTGTTTGATTGTTAAAGAATTTACGTTTAAATGTGTTTAATTCATAAAGATATGGTTTTACAGGAAAGTTAAAAAAAGACGAGTCCAGAAGGTAATACCCCAATAATGGAAGAAGAGATTGTTACTGACAATTTGACAAACCGTGAGATTCAAGGTTTCAAGATTAAGTGCCCTCAGTGTACTGAACTTATAGACTTTGACAGTTTTGAGGTAATTGTAAATACTGTAATGATATCAGTGCTCACTCTGGCCATTTGTAATTTATAGGCACAGATATTTGAACCACAAATCTAATAGTCAAACTCTAAACAAGCAAATAATCAAGAGGTAAAGAATTTTTTAAAATGAACAGTGTAACAACTCTGTATTCATTTGAATTTTTAAATTCATTGCTGTTTTTATAGAAGACAAATGATGTAATTTTATTAATTCCATTAATCCCATTAAATGCTTATAAACACTGTCTGAAGTACATTTTATTAACAGCTAATTAGTGTATACTTTCTTCTCGAGTACATGAAAAGCCAGTTGTAACTTGAGTTTGAAATTAAACAATAGAAGCTATGTTGTTGTTCAGACATGTTTTATCTGTACCTTTGTTTAGCTCTTTATGGTCTCATTTCAGTTTATTAGTTTGCCAGTTTTTAATAACATAAAGGTATCTGTAATTCAACACTAGGTGTGACCAGCTGTATTTGATGATTATGGCAATTAAAGTAATCATTCCCTCAGTTGTTTATGGGAAAAAACAAAAACTTCCATGCTTCCTGACAACACAACATACTTTTTATATAATGTTGATTCTTATTGTTCAGTTATACAACTAGGTTAATGCTACAACTTATTTGATTGGCTGAATGAATTATCAGTAGCATGTTTACACAGTGATGTCAGTAACAGCAAGATTCTCTCTCTGACAAGACTCACTTGACAATGAGAGAGTCTTATTTTAGAAACTGAAGAATATTCTTGAAGGTCCACAAAACTGGTGACGCTTTTATGTATGTGTGTTTTTATATATTCATTTGAAATTAACAATAGTAAAGAGTTTTAAAAATATTTTTGTATTGTTTCATTTATATATGTGTGTGTGAATATATTACTAAGTTCATCAGAAGTTAATGTAAAGATGTTTCGACTTCCCAGCTCATAGATAGTTTCAGATGTATTTGCAAAGCAACAGTTGAAGTTAGACATTGCTGTTTATTTATATATAAAAACTTGAAAATTATTATCAAGTAACATGAATTACTGCGATATTTAGAATACATAGCTTTGTAATTCAGTTTTTGCAGGTTGAAGTCAAGTAACAAATGTTGAAATGATACCTGGAGTTGATTTATTTTACTTTTTTTATTTTGTGGGTTACAGCTTAATATTAGTTACATATGCATATTTCTTCAAACCAGATGAATGCTACTTTTTGTAGGCTGTGTAATCCACTGGTGAATTTTTAAAATAGTTTCTTGTTTAATAAGTACTTATCTGTATTCTTGAATGAGAATGCAAAGAAATAAATGTATTAGTAAATTAATAATTAGTGTAATAGTTGTATAGCAGATATCTTAGATATCATGCTCAGTTTACATGTAGTTGGTTTTTGTGATAAGATATGAATATTAAGAAGGAATTGAAGGATGTCATAGTTTGGAATATGGTTTGTTCTTCAGTAATTTTGAAAGAAAATATAACATTCAAATTTGGTTTGACATCGTAACATTCTGATAATCTCTGAGATTTTCTAACTTCTTCTGTAGATTGACTGTTAAATCAGTCTTCCTGTTAAACAGTAAACAAATATATCGTGTTGTCTTGTCATTGAGCTATGTTTGTATACTTCTTTATTTCATGTTTCTTAAAAGGATAAATGACTTAATTGCAAAAAAAAATCAAGTAAATTGCATTTACTTATTTTTCATTCTCCTCAACATTTTCAATTTTCAAGATATTTGTATAATTTTATTAACGCTAGATGTACAAATTGTAATAAATTTAGCTGGTGGCATAATACTTAATTGAAATTTTTATACTTCATTAAGGTCTGGTTTAGTTTATAAGTAATTTTATTTTCAAGATCCACAGAAGTACTTGTGAACATGAAATTGTGACATGTCCTGAAGGATGTAGAGTTCGAATGAAACGAAAGTTGGTTGCTATCCACCTTTCTCAAGAATGTCTTTCTAAACTTATAGAATGCGACCATTGCCATGACACTTTCCCAAGAAAAGAGAGCAGGGTATGGAAGTTTTATGTGGTATTTATAACTGTGACTTATTTCTTTGTTTTAAAAACAATTAATCTAGAATGGTTTGTTACCATTTCGTTTAGATTTATCATCTACTTAACAAATCACTTTAAACCATAGAAACAAGACCCGTTACTCTGGCTAAACATTTGTTAATATGGTTCCTTGCTTTAATTTTTTTTTCTTTATAGATAATACAAGAATTTGGAAAGTGTTAATTTGAGAAATGGTAAATTATATTCATTCCTTCAAAATTTTTATTGTGTTTCCGAAAAATGTTTTATTATCACAAGATATTAGCTTCCTCTTTTTATTTATTTATTTATTCTGAGCAATTAAAAATTGTCTGACCTTTTCATGGGATAAGCATACAAAGACTTGTATGTTGAAACAGTTACTTTGAACTTTTTTTTAAAGGATTTTGTCCACTAGTGTTTTTTTCACTAGATGAAAATGTGGTTTATACAGGTAAAACTGAGTTAACTTAAGAACAGTGGGATAGGTCCATTTGTTAACAGAAGGTTCAAAAACATATTTATTCCAAAGTAATAATGAGTTGTCTGCTGACTGAGTTTTTAAAAAAAAGAAACTAGACACAAAGGTGCAATGTAAAAAAAGTGTTTATACTAAAAAAATCAAAATAATGTGCAGAAGATGAAGGACAGCACCTATACTGTATAGTTAACTCACTATACTTTCCTAATAACTTACAAAGATGTTTAATAAAAATTGTTTAACACTATACTTACAGGTTAAACATTAGGACAGTTTTACTATCTTAAAAGAAAGAACTTAAACCTCACTTACCAATCTGAGGGATTAAGCTTGAGATAGATAGAGAGAGAAAGCTGACCAAGAAGAGATCATAGTATTATATACCAAATATCTATAACACTATATTCTTAGGACATGTGCCACTTATATCACTGTTGGTCAATTTCATTAAAACATAAAGGAAGCCATAACCTTGAGATATCACGTGACCTATGCTGGGAGGACACTGCTGTTGACATTCTTGCAAAATGTGCAGTATTACAGGAATAAACTCCCTGGATAGAACAGATGTTATCTTCTAGTGAGTAACAAAGGCAGCTTGAATGAGATGAACTTAACAGTTTTTACAAACACTTGTTATGTGAAACATTCACATATACAGAAGAAATTATAAATTTGGAATAAACATTGTAATATTACAAGAAGATATAAATGCATGGTATATCATTTACCACAAAATCATTTGAGAGTGAAGTAATGCTCTTGAAGTACGTGGAGGTGAAAAATCTAAGAGTCTGTACTTTACTGTTATTTTTTTTTATTAACAATTATTTTTGTCTCTCTCTTTGGACTTTAATATCTCACACACTTTTCATGTCATATATTTTAAGACATCTTTTACTTCCAGTTGTTATACTTGTGTTTATGAATCTAGTTCTGTTTTTATAAGATTACTTTTCTAAAACCCAGTACAAAAACCACCTTTCTGTGGTTCTAGATTCTCATTACATGATGGACAGTGCTGATGTGCATCTTGTTTTCAAAATAAATCACCATCTGTATGTTATTTCATATACATTTCTTTTTTTATAGAGTATTTTTAATAGTTCATTTCCAGATTTGTTTTTTTTTTACTTTTTTTTGTACTGTGTTGAATTATTCAGTGCCAGTGATTAAAAGGATTTTTATTCATACTGTTTTCTAGTCTAGCTTTTGACCATATTACCTTTCTTATATACCTCACACAAGTTATCTATTTGTTAAGTTTCACAGGATAACATTCAGGCTATTATTGATCATACTACCAATTTTTTCTTTTAGCGTAAAACAAGGTTTTTAATTTTTTTTTTTCTGGGTTAAACAACATTGCATTATATATGGGCTTATCTTGTAGAGATCCTAAATTTTGTAGGATCTCATTTGTTATACTATATTTTGACTTTATTTTCAGTGTATGTACACAATGTTAATAAAAGGGTCTTAACATACAGTGATTGATATTTGTAAGATCATACTATTCTAAACTGCTTCTCAAGTGAATTCTGTCTCTGGGTGTTACCATTCTTGACTTACGAGTTTAGGAATGATAACCCCCTATTCTTTCCTCTTTCATATCACACACTTCTTGACACTTTATAACACTGGGCAAGATGGTTGGTGTATAGTACATTGTAAGACAGTTTCTTTTTCTTGTTATATATTTACTGATTCAAAGGGTCTTTTATGTTGTTCTTTTCCATCTCTGTTTCTTTACAGGTGGTGACAGCTTCTTTCTTTGTTGTTCCTCAATTCTGTTGATAGTTATTGAGTTGCTCTTCTGGCTAATTTTCTTTTTTCATGGCATTGTGTTTGATTTGGTGGCTCTGATCAAATTACTCAGATCTACTTTATTGTATTAAAGAATACAAGTCCAGCTTAATGTTTGAACAACTGATGTTATAGGGTACTAACCTTGTTAGTTGTAGGTTTTAGTCTTACTCATTAAGTTTTTTTTGTGTGTGAATGTAATTTCCTTCGTGAACTTCCTTTGAACTGTATTTAATAGTTTATAGAAAGTTTATAATTATTTGTATTTTTTATTTTTGTTTTCCATTTTCAGTCTCATTTTACAAGTTGCATGTTCGTGCCCCAGCCTTGCCAACTTTGTGAGGTTCTAGTGACAAGAAGAAGTGTAAGTATTCTAAAAAATATAGGGAACAGTTGACCATTTGGAAAATACGTAGGAACAACATGTTTTCTTTCTGTAGAAAGTAGAGCACACAATTTTTTACATTGGCTGGTGTATATAAAAATAATCTTTTTGATTTTCATGTTTTATTTTGATGAAAATTAGAATCTTTAATAAGAAATATGTTATTTATTTACATAAAAAAAGTTAAGATAATTTACAGAGTGAATACCTCTTTTAATCTTCTCATTCACATTCTTAACAAGTAGAAAGATGTTCATTTATATCTATTTTAATCATTCCCTTCTCTCTTGTATATAGAACAATTTTCCATACTTAGACTCAGGCTAAATGTTTGCTTGTTTGTATGGTTGTAGATTACTATTGGTTATAGATTCTCACGTGATCCTTTTTTTAAATTAGATTCTGTTAGACTCAATTCTTGTATCCCACCTGATGAAATGTTGTGTAAAAGAGTAAAATAAATAAGTTTTACTATGTACAACTGGTAAAAACTTGTGTGAAACTGCAGAACTGTTATATTGAAAGATTTTATATTAGAAAACTCATCTGGATGCACTCTTCATTCTTTGTTATATGTTATTCTTATTTTGACAGACATTTATATCATGTATGATTTCTCTCTCTCTCTTTTTAGTTTTGTATAACTTGCTAAGTTTTATGTGTCTGTGACAGTTTTTAAGGTCTTATGTATTACTGATGGTACTTGCTAGTATGTGTGGCCAGTTTTTAGCATTTTGTATCATAGCGTAATGTTTTGACTCCTAATGTAGTATACTTAACCTACTTTCGTTAGCTTCAAGAGTTGATAAAGGACAGAAAAGCTGTTAACACACATTTCTAAACTTGTGTTTTTTAGCAAGTCTCTCTAGGTTCTATCATGAATGTATATAAGATATCATCATCACACTTGCTGTGTAATGAGTTTCAGCTTCCTACACTTCTTTGCAAGATGGGGGGTGAATTTGTTTGCCATTTTTCTCCAGTTTATTCACATCTGTTTTTTCTGGCGGTTATTATTTCAATAAAACACACTACTGGACATGGTTTTGTTGGGGTTTACTTTATGTACTGATTTTTTCAGGCTTTATTTAGCTATACTTTTATTTTACTAAGGATTTCTGAGAAAAGTTCATTTAATGGATTCTCTTTCTCAGGTTAATTTGGACAGGTGTGTTTTCCTTCCCCTCCACATCCATTTTAAAAATAGTATCTCAAGCTGTTTCTTTCCAATTGTACAGATAACCTTTGTCAAAGGGAATGTATTATTCATATTTATAAATTAACAGAATACAATTAGCAAGTTAATCCTCTCTTTCTCTCATACGAGTTCTACAGAATACACATTAAAGAAATTTAAGATAAGTTTTATATTCAAAATTTTACTTACTCTGTCATTAGTGGATTTTGTCTTGAAGTAGGTTAAAAAACTGATAATTAGGAAATAAAAATTATTTTCAGATATTTCTTGTGGTCAGAACATTAATTTTTTGCTTAAAGCTAAAGTTTTTAGTTTATAAAAGTTATTGTGGTAACACATAATGGCTGGAGACGGCTTGAATGGGTAATGAAGAAAAACTTTAATATAAGTTTAACATAACAGCAAATGTACAACGTTTCGACAAGGTTTTGTCATCATCAGGTACAAGATTGTGGTACTAGTAAATTGTTTGATGAATAGCCATTGTACTTATTTGGAAATGTATTTGATAAACGACTGATTTGGGCTTATTTTTATATTATGTGTTTCTAATGTAGAATATTTTAAATATGTATGTCCGCTAACTAAAAGAGGATCAAAACAGTAACTTACTACCATATTATTTGTTTTATTTAACCATTGTTGTACATATGTTGCAGATGGAAAACCATATTAATACTAGCTGCATGAGAGCCTATGTTTCTTGCCCATTTAAAGATCTTGGTTGTGAGGAGGATATCGTAAGTTCTACTTGATCTTTGTTTTCTTCATTGTGCATGTAAAAGCTTGTTTTGAAATATGAAATTAGGTTTATGGTTTAGTAATATCTCTCTCTCTTTTTTTTTTTACATTCTACATAATGATATGGGTGACTTGTGTTGAAGCATAGAAATGTATTTTTTTTTTCATTTCTGTAAGATTTGATTTTAGCTAAACATGGAAGGTTGTTACAGCCATTTTCCAATAATGAGAATGAAATGCACATTTCCAATACCAGTTGTATAATGATACAAAAAATTCTTTCTCTATTTCTACATGAACATTTGATATGATTAATTTTATCTTGTCATATCTGAAGTTTTAACATAAATCAATAATCCATTATATACATTTGATTATATTTTGGTGGATCTTTCTGTTACATGCATGTGTGCACAGATATCTACATAAGTGGATGTATTTGTAGATCTGGTGTACTATTTTCATACTCAGCAGTCATCATTTTAAGAGATATTTATTCTATAGTGAATTTTATTCCTTTTTCTGTGGTTTGTTGTACTGTGCTACAAAGAATTGATAAACCTCTACTGATGATTTTTATTGTGCTTCACTGAAGAGCACTAGTGGCTAAGTTGTCGATATAAATATGGGAACTTTCGTATGTAATATATAAATTAGGAATGGCAGAAGATGCGATCTTATGGCTGTTAGTCATCTTTACCTTTCATCAGTGGTCTGAATTAAAACAAAGCAAAAGAAAGCAGACTGTGTCTAAATGTTGTAAACCTAAACATTTAATATAAATTATTGTACTAGCATAGTTTTTTTTTTCAAATATTAAGCTGTAGTTTTTTGAACAGAATGTTACATGCAATCACAACAGCAAATTCTATGAATTATGATAGGTACTACATTTTCTAATGACTACTATTTGATATTTTAAGTAAAAAAAAAGAAAATTGGTGAAACTAAATATGAAATGAGTCCTATATTTTTTGTGCAGCTTTTTAAAGAACTTGCTTTGTGAATAATGTTTGTTTATTTCAAAGATGTTCAGTACATTATACACATTTACAACAATCTTATGTATTTTCATATTTTTTGTTATATATATGAAACAAGGGTTAGCGAATTTTCAATGCATCTAAGTGAAGTCCTACTGCAAATAAAAGTTTACATAGAAATTTGTATTTTTTGGATTAAAATTAATTTTAGCTCTTTTTTTTTATCATCACATTTTAAAATATGTTTTAAGTTGATAAAGAGTTACTTAAGATTTAAAGTTGTGCTAAATATCAGGATAGATTTAAAAAATATTAAGTTGTGGGACTTAAAAAAGAGGACAGAATTTTTTACAAAATTGCTAATATTTTTTTTCCCCCTTGCAGATAGAACGTCTATACCTTGGTGCTCATTTACAGAAAGATGTTGCCAGGCATCTCACACTACTTTTTCAAGCATTTTACACATTGTGTGAAAACTTTACTAAATTATTACAGAATAACTCCTCCAACTCATCCATAGAAAGTTTTTTAAAAATGTTGGAAAAGTTCAAGCAATCTCATTTAAGTTCTTCTGAAAAAATGTCAACAATAGTAAATGATGATAAAGAAACAGAAGTCTCAAGTATGAAAAAGGTATTGCATTGTGAAGACAGTTTGTCAGTTGACTTACGTGCAAAAGTAATTAGTCTTGAGCAGCAAAATAAAGAATTAACTATCAAAGTTAACCATCTAGAACAACAGTTGGAAGAACAAAAAAGACAAATTTGCAAACTTTGTACGAGTATGTCAGTCATTGAGGAACGTATATGCAATGGTATTTTCTTTTGGAAAATTAAAAATTTTTCTTCTTTAGCAGAAAAGACAAAACATATGGGAGGAATGGTGTGTTACAGTCCAGGATTTTATACCTCTCCATTTGGTTATAAAGCCTGTCTACGTTTGTTCTTGCAACCAAGTGAAGATGACGATGATTTGATTATATCACTTTTTCTACACTTTATGAGAGGTGACTATGATGATTTATTGTCATGGCCTTTCCAGGGAAGTTTTTATCTTATAGTCATAAGTCAAACTGAAGATCCTTCTTGTAAGCATATTGTGAACGCCCTGGAGTCAAATTCTAGCTTGCAGGCATTTCATCGACCAAAGTCTGAGAGAAATGTTAAAGGTTATGGTTATAAAGAGTTTACAAAAATGTCAAAACTTTACTCAGGAGGATACATTAAGAATGAAACTTTGATTATAAAGATTGAAGTAGTCAGTTTATCATGATATTTACAAAGTTCTCCAAGTGCTATACCACGTGAGAAAATTTCTACAGACATTTGCTTCACACTTATATTTTCTGAAATTCAAAGAACTTTTCAACAACTATAATCAATGTGTGTCAATAAACTTGGCATCAAAAAATAGTTTATAATTCCAATTTTAATATTATAAAAGTTTAAGTTCAAAAAGGAAATACTGAAATAAATTCTGAATCGTTACTTCTCTGTATCATGCCATTTCTTTACTCTGAATTGCCCATTTTAAATTTTACTTAAACTAATTATTTGTACATAATTTTTTGTGACTGTTATTATACATTCTTCTTTGAATTCTTGTTTTCAATGCAGATAATTTGTTAATCTTTATTGGGTAAGGACTTGTCAAGCATCGTATGTCAATTAAGAAGTTGATTTTGATACTCAAGGAAGTTTATTCAAAGTCAGATATTTTAATAAAATACCTCATCCTGTCTTCCAAAAAAATTGTCAATAACTCTCGCTGACATTTGCTATATTGGATTATTTATAACCAATAGAAAGAGATGATTCTACATTACTGAATTTTCTACAAGGCTATCTAATTCAGCTGACAGTTTTTGAAATAGTTTTATTGTTTGACATTGTGGCACTTGCTTGACTACCTAACACAATTTTTTTTAACCCATTGCATTATTTTGTTGTTGTTTTTTCAATTTCTTTGTCCCATATCACTTTATTTAGACTATTTGTGTGTTATATATTTGTATTGACTGGTACTGAATAGTCTTTTAATTCTTGTTTTAATGCAAATCATTTGTTAGTCTTTACTGGATAAGGACTTGTTTAGCTTCATATATTAATTAACAAGTTTATTTTGATACTCAAGAAGGTGTATTCAAAGTTAAATATTTATTTTAATAAAATGTTGGTTAAGAGCTTTTTTTGTTATTGTGCAGAAGTTTATAAGGTTTCTTATTTGAAACATTTATCTTTACCAAAAAAAAAAAATGTGTAAATTTTAAGTAGACCTGTTAAGATTCTTATTGTGAGGAATACAGGGTGACTTTAGATTTTCTAGATATGCCTAGCAATATTGAATGATTTTAAATTGTATCATTTAAGGATTAACAACAAATGAATCAATTTCTTCCTCTGCCCATAAGTTTAATATTTGTAATAAAAATGTATACTTGAACAACAAAATAAAGTTTTTCCTTATTTTGTATAATAGACGACACCAGTTTGTTCTTCATTGGAATTTCTTCTCGGGTTTAACACAATTTTTCTGTAATATTACCTGTGGCATGTCTAAACATTTACTTCATTAAGCCTAACTTCTTATTTTTTATTCATCAAAATACTCTTAGTAATCCAAAAAAATCATGATTTCAACATTTATTTTTTCATCTGATGTGATGTCTTGTCATTAACATAAATAACTTGAAAGTGCTGGGAATAAACACTATAAATTCTCCCCCAAAATGATGACCAGACAAGAGTTACAACTCCCTACTTGAAGGTGGTGACCAATTTTGGGTCTTATAGCTGAAGGGTGGCTGAATAACTTGGATATGTTATGTCAACTACTGCACAGAGTTTCAGTAAGGTTGTTATAGTGAAGGCAAAATTCTGTTTATTGGGAATGGGATCTAGCTGTCAAGTGTCTGCACATTTAAAAAAAAACTGAATACTGAGAGATGTTAACTAAGCATATTTTGGGGACTATGGTATAATTTTTTGAACACCAGGCCAATGTGTTGATCCAATAGGATTAGTCATTTCTTCCCAAAAAAAGGACTCTGCCTGTTTCAAACTATCAACATGATAGTAGCACACCCAGAGCACAGATCTTGACCCATGTGAAGAAGTAAATGTAAAAGGTTAAACTACATCTTTCCAGTAGCCATCCATTAGCTAATCTTTTGGAAGTAAAATGGAAACAAACTGTATCAAATGCATGTACTTTGTAAACAAATAACAGACCAGTATGTTGATCAATCAGATTTAATTACAGTTCTATTAGTGGATCAAACGTTTCCTCAATTACCCACACTTATTTTTATATGAATGTATGAAACAAATTTATTCTTGAATTCTTTATTTTCAAACAATATATTTTTTATTACATGTAAAAAAAAACTATCATTATTAGCTCCCAAAACTTTGAATGAAATAACAAACAATTAGCTCTGTGAAATTCATTTTCTTAGCATATAAGCAATATTTGCACTGGTGCGATTATTACAGCTGACCCGAAGACATGCTGAACGGGCAGTGAAACACTTGTTTGTAAACAACAGGTATTTTGTAAAAGTGGCACTGTTATTAGAACCAAAATGAGCACTGTAGAAATAAACTATTTAATATAGTTTATAAAATAAAATAGTTTTCAAATATTATTACAGTAACACTTCATGTCTATAAATTAATAAGTTTGTTGCCATATATCACTATTGTAGATCACATCTAAATTATGAGACTGATATATAAGAACTTAATAAAAATCACACAATTTTTAACCAGGCTTTAAGATGATCTGGAACTTAACATAATTTTTTTCCTCTTATTTAAGGAATTGTTCAAGTATGAATAGTCTTTCAAGTTTGCTGGAAAAGATAATTTTATCAACTGTGAGAGGTTTAAAAAAAGACAAAAACTGGTTATGATAATAACCTTTATCTTTCGTTAGAAAAAAAGGTATTTTGTTACCTCATCAATTGCATTTAAGTACTGAATGACAATATTTATGATGGTCAAAATCTATTTAAGGTAAAGCAGGGAATGATGAAACTATACTTTTATTTCTAAAACAATTATTTATTTAATTGTTCTTTATACCAGGTCTGCTTTTTTTGTCTTTGAACATCCATTTAATTGGACATCTATTCACAGCTGCCACTAGAAAACTACGGTTCTATAAACAAAAGGTATCTGATGTAAAATGACACTATTTAATTAAAGTGCTAGTCTTTAATGCCATTAAGGAGTTTAATGTAAAAAAAACTTGCATTATCTGCAGTTATATTAAGGAAATATATATTAATGTTTGAACTCAACTATTTAAGAAATGGATTTACTACCGGACTACCATAAAAGTCACTAAAGAGTTATATGTATTAATCTGTTTATGAACATACACACACTTATATGAGAATCTATTTTTGTTGAGTATTAAACAAAGATTTTCAAAATACCTACTACCCAAAATACTATGATTATATATTTTGATTATACATGAATGTGATTTGGGTATCTACTAACAACAAATATTAATCTATAGAGGAGCACAAACTGTATATGCATGTTTACCTCAAATAATAAGTGGTATTACAGGCATTTGTTGAGCTGTTCAAGTATAACTGCATCTTTTCTACACTACTAATATGAGAACCTCTGTTTCTTGGAGTAGCCCAGTTTGTCCAAGTTGGGATGGCAGGCAAAGTTTACCATAGGTGGGGGGCCACACATCAAGATCAGGGTATTTTCTGATGGTGCAGGAAGATGCTGTTCAATCATCTCTGCACTGATGAACCCCGCACTATATTTCCAACCTGTATGAAAAAAAAGTACATCGTAAGTGGTTTATATTAAGACATTTTTTTTCATTTAATAAGCTTACTTAGAAAACTTTTATACACCAACATCTCTGTCTCTTAGAATATTTAAAACCTTGAATCTGTTGCAGGTCAAGTGTGGTAGAATACTACCTCTTGTTCCTAACATGTTATAACACTAAACCTTGCTTCCAGTCTGTTCCAGGACAAGTGTAGAAGAATACAACCTCTTGTTTCTAATACATTATAACACTTAACCTTGCTTCCAGTCTGTTCCAGGACAAGTGTAGAAGAATACTACCTCTTGTTTCTAACATGTTATAATACTTAACCTTGCTTCCAGTCTGTTCCAAGAAAGTGTGGTAGAATACTACCCATTGTTCCTAACATGTTATAACACTAAACCTTGCTTCCAGTCTGTTCCAAGAAAGTGTGGTAGAATACTACCCATTGTTCCTAACATGTTATAACACTTAACCTTGCTTCCAGTCTGTTCCAAGACAAGTGTAGAAGAATACTACCTCTTGTTTCTAACATGTTATAACACTTAACCTTGCTTCGAGTCTGTTCCTAGAAAGTGTGGTAGAATACTACCTATTGTTCCTAACATGTTATAACACTTAACCTTGCTTCCAGTCTGTTCTAGGACAAGTGTGGTAGAATACTACCTCTTGTTTCTAACATGTTATGGAACAGACTGGAAGCAAGGTTAAGTGTTAGCACAAGTGTGGTAGAATACTACCTCTTGTTCCTAACATGTTATAACACTTAACCTTGCTTCCAGTCTGTTCCATGACAAGTGTGGTAGAATACTACCTCTTGTTCCTAACATTTTATAACACTTAACCTTGCTTCCAGTCTGTTCCAGGTCAAGTATGGTAGAGTACTACCCCTTGTTCCTAACATGTTATAACACTTAACCTTGCTTCCAGTCTGTTCCAAGAAAGTGTGGTAGAATACTACCACTTGTTTCTAACATGTTATAACACTAAACGTTGCTTCCAGCCTGTTCCAAGAAAGTGTGGTAGAATACTACCTCTTGTTTCTAACATGTTATAACACTAAACGTTGCTTCCAGTCTGTTCCAAGAAAGTGTGGTAGAATACTACCTCTTGTTCCTAACATGTTATAACACTAAACCTTGCTTCCAGTCTGTTCCAGGACAAGTGTGATAGAATACTACCTCTTGTTTCTAACATGTTATAACACTTAACCTTGCTTCCAGTCTGTTCTAGGTCAAGTGTGGTAGAATACTACCTCTTGTTCCTAACATGTTATAACACTAAACCTTACGTCCAGTTTGTTCCAGGTCAAGTATGGTAGAGTACTACCCCTTGTTCCTAACATGTTATAACACTAAACGTTGCTTCCAGTCTGTTCCAAGAAAGTGTGGTAGAATACAACCTCTTGTTTCTAATATGTTATAACACTAAACCTTATGTCCAGTTTGTTCCAGGTCAAGTATGGTAGAGTATTAGTTGTTTCTGATCTTTTAGAGGTAAGAAATGTGGTAGAATAGCATAATGAAGCTCTACAAACTCAAAATATGGTAAAACAATAATATACATATATATATATATATATAGAGAGAGAGATTTTATTTGTGTATGTGACAGAACCTTTACATTTCTGTTTAGATTTAACATGGTATATCAGTATTTACCAATATATAGTCCTAACATGAGTAAATATACAAAACACTTTATAGAATACATTAAGCTACTAAAATGTAGGCTTTAGTTCACAGAAGTTCCCAAAATATGTCTATTTATACTTTTTATTAGGAAAAAGGTGGCATGAAACTATCTTAGGTTCCAGATCTCACACATTTTTCATTCTGACGAGCGAATTGGGTAACTTGTACTTATGATATTGAGGTTTGCTTTCTACACAGGGTTCTATACATTTTGATGACATTACCAATAAAGAAACTACTTATGACAGTGTCTCACCTTCTGAGGGTCGATCTACCGTATACCAGAGCTTGAATTGTTCAGTATGTTCAGCTGCCAGATCTTCCAGTTCAGACCTCAGAAGAATGTCTTCTTCTGACTGAGTGTGGACAATAAAATATTCATATTGTTTTAATGCCATGTTCTCTTAAATAGCTATGTTTTATCTTTGTTTTAATGGTTATAACATAGCATACGATTCCGTTAATCACTTTAAATAACTTAAGTAACTTTTTTCTACAGACTAGTTATTCCCAAAGAAGAATTCTATGATTTATTTTTAGTTACTTTTATCTTAAATTGTACATTTTCTTTTAGCTTTTGCTTTAAGATTATCATTAATGCATTTTACAAAACAAAATACATGGGGCGAGCAATACTTTTTAGTGTATTTATGTTATAAACTATACACTTCCAAATGAATGATTTCACCCATATTACATGACCATGTTAGAAGATAGGTATTAACATGTAGCTGAAATGCATACATCTCTAATTAATGGCATTACTTGCCTATTTATGGAGATACATAGATGAAACGTATTACTATATCACTAAGCTTGCGGTGCCACTGCATGCAATACATTGTATTTACGGTTTATACTACTTAGTAAAAAGGGATTAATGCGAATAAATAAATTTTTTTCTGAACCCACAAAGTAAATATTAATTGTAAATAAAAATAATACAATTTTAAAAACAATATTTGATATTTCTTGCAATATCTTGTCACAGTACCAGTAGCTCAACAAAGTTCTGTTCTCTATAGTTGTTTGTTGTGGTACAAAACTCGTACTAGATGAGGAAGCATATAAACTTTTACTTTTTCACTTTTACATTTGTAGTTATTTGTCAATAATTTTATGGTTTGTTATCTAATATATTAACTGTATTCGCATCTGTTTTCTTGTATGTAGCCTACAACATTAAGTTCCAGAAAAAAAAATATATTTTGCAGTTGGTATTCATAGCTGTAAATTTTTTTAAAAATCAGAGTTGATGACATATGTAACAGCTTCCAAAACAATGTGGACCAAAGTGAAGTTTCATCTTTAAAGATATTCACATTAAGGTAGTGTAACTGCTAATTAACAGGCCCCTCACGAGCCAGTGGGGGACATTTCTGTTGAAAAACCAAACTACCCAATCTGGTTTTTCTTAATTCGAAATGAAATTATTTGGATATTTTTATTGGCTAAAAAGAAGGTATTTCCAGCACTCTTTTAGGGTTGGGGCTGCAAAAAGTGATTTGAAGTGGTAAGGTGACTGAAATGCATCAATGCATTACAAGCTTTTTGGCTAAGCACAAGAAGCGTGGAAGTCACCAAATGACATGCAGAGGTATTCAGGAACCACTTTGGTAGATATTGTGCACCAAGCCGAGTACAATATCATGCATGTAGCTGCTTTCAAAGTGTTCCTGTCTGCTTATCCTACTACTGACTATCGTGATGTTTCAACCTTCCCTACCGATTCGCGGGTGAAATCTTTCTTATCTCAATTGAAAGCTAAACATAAAAAGGTGATAGCAGAAGCATAAAAAGATCGACAGTTGCTTTATGGATACATACTGAATTTACTCCCAGCAGGTAGACCTTAGTATTAGCTAGTATGGAGACTTGAGGATACTGTATTTCACTCTTAAAATTTTATCAATTAACAAAAAAAAACTTGTCTTGAAGTTATCTCAAAATGATACGTCCAAAACCACCCTCTCTGGGAGTTTCCAAATTGAACTTTTAATATTCAACAAATTGTAGTGTAAAGACACTCTTAGCTCCTGAAGAATGTGTTAAGAAGTAGAATAAAAGATATTATCAAAATATACAACCAAATGATTAACTCTTGATTAAATCACACAAAAGATTTGTACAAAAAAATATGGTTCTGATGTTTATTTACCTGATTTGCAAACAACAGAAACAAGTTGGTGTTATCTTCTGGATCTTTAAACACTTGTCGAACCAGCTGGAGCATTGGTGTAATTCCTAGGTGAATGATTGGACATTAAGTAATTCAAATTTTCTTATCCTACATGTATATATAGGGTAACATAAACATATATGTGTACATATATATATTATATTAGAACAATACACTTTGGGATAGTTTTTGATTGCTTTTCCTTCCAGCTCTGAAATGAAAACTCATGGAATCAGGAGAACTGATGCTTTACATTTATGGTTATGTTGATCACCAAAGGGGCTGCACTCCATCTGTGAAGTCCAGAAGCATGGGGCTCCCTTTAACTTTGTATGGTGGAGTCAAAGTGTGCATGTATGACCATTTTACAGAGTTACATTTAGAATGTAATTAAACAACTATATAATCAATGTGCATCAATAAACTTGAAATCAAAATATTAAGTAAGTTCTCAGTCTTCACTTCTCTGTATCACATGATACTTATTCGCTCTGAATTGCCTATTTTAGATTTTATTTCTACCCCTATATGATCTTCTGAGTTTGGTACAGATTACATGCTTATACTATAGGTATTGCTGAGCCATATTGTAAAGTTCTAGTCTCCAAAGTTCTTGCTTTACTGTGATATTAACAAGAAAATCAAACCCACATGCCACAATCCTCCTATTACATCCTGTTTTTCAAAAAATGCCCAAAAATTTGCTATTGGATTACTTATAACTAACACAGAAAGAAGACTGTATTTTACTGAATTTTCTAGAGATTTTTAAATATTTCACTTCTGTTTTACATTGTGGAGTTTGCTTAACTAGCTTACGGAAATTTTTAAGTTCATTTATAGTTTAGTTAGAAAGCAAATTAAGTTATAGTTGTTTTATGACATTCTATTTCTTGAGCCTGATAATATTTGTGTTCTCAGTTGCATATATGATTTGTTTGTTTTTTGAATTTCGCGCAAAGCTACACGAGGGCTATCCGCACTAGCCATCCCTAATTTAGCAGTGTAAG